ATTGCTAATTACTAAAGAGAGTTATATAAACCATCGGCTGCCGATGCCGGAAATTATGTGAAATCGGCGTTATGCGAAATGGTGGTTAGGTGAAATGAAAATTATGCGAAATAACGGTTAGGCGAAATGACCGTTATGCGAAATGATCGTTATGCGAAATGGTCGTTAGGCGAAACAAGCGTTATGCGAAAGTAATCGTTATGCGAAATAACCGTTATGCGAAATGCAATTATGCGAAATAACGTTATGCGAAATGAAAATTATGCGAAATGACTGGAAATCCCGTACACCTACCCCTCCATCGCCAGCCCAAGAATCAGCGCGCAGAATAAATAGGTGGCCAACATTTTTTGAGAAAAAATGTTGAACATCTAGAGAAAGCCGGGAGTTTTATTTACCAAGAAATTGAGGGCTCCGAAAGTTTTACAAAACGCCTGTTCGGTTATGTATTTTTTCGGTTCCCAGTGGACATTGGTCTTTGATCTGGTTTTTGTTCTTGGAGCATCCGAAATTTGTCTTTCCTAACTTCCTGAATTCCTGAGCTCCCTGAGCCATTTTCCGTATTTGAATTTTTTTTTTGTATTAAATTTATATTTATGTTAATTTTGAGTGTTATATTCCCATTTTGTTCTATTTCGAGCGCGAATTTTGGTTTTTTGAAGAAACTCTGCCCTCTCTCCCTCTTTTTTTCCTCTCTCTCTCTTTTTTCTCTCGCTCGTTCTCTCTCCTCTGGCTCCCTATATCTCTTTTTTTCTCTCTGCCTGTTTTCTCTCTCTTTCTTTCTCTCGTTTCTCTCTCTCTCTCTCCCCCTATCTTTCGCTCAGGCGGTAATACTTGTTGGCTGGTTAAGATAATTTATTCAACTTTTCTACAATCTTTCAATATCACCACCGGCATTTTCCATCCCAACAGTGTCGCTGCTCGCGCTCGCAGTCTTCCTTTGTCCGCATTCTGGCTAAAATTTCTGAATTTTGAAGGTTATCAAGACGTCTTCCTCCGTGTAACCGCTCCTTTAAACCGGAAACTTTACCTGACCGCGATGGCGTCTTCTTGCCGATATCCCAATCAGAGCACTTATTCCGGAAGCAGTCGAATTCCTCTGGGCAGTCACGCGACGAGTTGCACCAGCGGCGTTTTTGGCTGAATCTTGGTTCTGGACCGTTAGCGGGGAAGATACCAGCAGGGGAAGGGGAGGTTTTTCGGAATTTCTGCTTTTTTTCTTTGCTCAGGGGCGATCTAGCAGAGTTTCTCTTTGCGGAATCACCACCATCCCTACCAGTACCCTGAAACGACGACAGCCAGCAGCAGAAGACCGAGAAAGAAGGCTGGCCGCATTTTTCCAGAAAAATGTCGATACTTGCCCAAAATCGTGGTTTTATATTTCGCTCCCTGATTTGGCGTATGTAATTTAAGCCGCTGTTGATTTTTGGCTTTCTATAAATCTAGCGCTAGCTTGCCCAGTTTACATTCTTCCCAAAGAATTGCTGCTAGCATGCCAACTCTTAATTTTCCAAAAGAATCTCTGCTGCCAGCTCACTCAGCCTTCCATTTTTCCCAAATAATCTATCCAGGCTTGCCTGAGCTCGAGATTTTCTTAGGAACTGCTGCTAGCTTTTCCATATTTCACAAAGAATCCCTGCTAGCTTGCCCAACCCTCACTTTTCCTAAATAACCCTGCTAGCCTGCTTTGACAGTTTGATTTTGTGAAGAAACCCTGCTAGCCTGCCCCGGGATTCGATTCTGTCTCCGAAGAATGGCCTGTTAAGCTTGCCGTGTTGAGCTTAGCTTTTCCTAGGGAATCTCTGCTAGCTCGCCCAAACTCAGCTTTATGATTAATTTGTTCTTTATGCATTTGTATTGCATTATTCATTTTTAAGTTAGAAATATTCGTTTTATTATATTCGGCATCCATTTCACATTATTTTGGGAAGAGGTTACAGAAGCCCGTACAAGAATCGCTACTTGATATCCCTCTAGCGTACAGTCCGAATCCGACTTGCAGCCAAATCCTTGCTGAAAAGGAAGTTTTTATGGGATTACCGGTTCTACAGTTTTTTAAAGGGAGCGTGACAGCGATAGAAAATTTCAATTTTGGACTTTTAAACTTTAAATTTGAATTTAATCACCAGCGCTCCATGCCGACCATTCGCCCCTCGGCCGCCTTTTCCCGCCGGAAGGGGCTGTTAGGTCAATTCGTAGCATGTTTCCATGAGACACGTCCAGTTGTCCGGACAGTCCGAATCCTCACGGCAAGCGTTCGCCTGGCTGAAAATCGGGCTTTTAGCTAGCAGAGAGATTTTTTGGGTTTGCGCGCTCCTCTCTCTCGCTCTCTTGCCTCTCTCTCCCTCCCTATCTCCCTCTGTTCTCTCCCCTCTCGGTCTCTCTCTATCTCTCGCTAGCTCTCTCTCTCGATCTCACTATCTCCGCTCTCACTATCTCTCTATCTCTCGCTCTCTCTGTCTCTCTCACTCGGTCTTTCTCTGTCTGCCTCTCATTTATCAAGGCCTATTTCCGATCTCAAGGGCTAACGACCAGAGACCACTGGGGACCCAGTTTTCATTTTATTGGAACTACCGTACCTCAACCCGACCAGGGCACACAATAATATACAGAGAGCGATACGTACGGATCATTGTGCAAAATTCCACAAACCGGGGTTTCTAGCATTTTATAGGCTTCTTTCTCTGCGTTTCCTGCTCTCTCGCTCTATCTCTCCCTCGCCGCATAATTCCCTGCTTTTATTCATGTGGACGGGCCAAACTTTCCGGAAATATGAAATATTCGCCGAGTTTCCGAATTTTTCGAGCCCGGAATTTATTATCGATTTTCACTTACTTTCCAAGAACCCAGACTTCACAAGTTTATGCCCCAAAACGTAGTGGAAAATTGGAAGGTGGATTTCGGTTTTCTTCACGGGAATTCGCAGATGCCGCCGCTGGCGCAGTACTCATAAGAGCGGCAATCCCGGTCCCGCGAGCAGCTTCTCTGAAAAAAGTTGAGAAAATGTTAATTAGAGTGTAGTTTAGTTTTGACGGTATTAAAGGGAGAGTGAACTCTGGCAAGCCCCGGCCCCATCTCTATTTCGAATCTCGGCTCATTTTTGGCTTAAGTTAGCTTAGGCTTGGGCTTAGTTGAGCTTCACGTCTTCTAAGGTTAGGCTTGGAGCTTAGGCTTAGGCTTAGGTTAGGCTTAGGATCCGGCTTAGGCTTTAGGCTTGGAGGCTTAGGCTTAGGCTTGGAGGCTTCGGTTAGCTTAGGCTTAGGCTTAGGCTTAGGCTTAGGCTTGGCTTGAGCTTGGGGCTTAAGGTTAGGCGTGTTTAGGTTAGGCTTAGGCATAACAGCATAGGCTTAGGCTTAGGCATAGGCTTGGGCTTAGGCTTAGGAATTGGAACTTTCTGTCATTTAAAGGTAGTAGTAAAATGATATGCAAGATATACAACATTGAAATTCACCAAAATTACCTAAATTATGAAATTTTAAAGGTCCGGAAAGTATCTAAAATATTACAGTTGATCGAAAGATGGTGAAAAATGTTGTGTAAGAACTTTTCTAATCTTTTAAATGGCGGGAAAGCCGCGTAAAGATTAGTTGATTGGAAAATGCACTAAAAATGTGAACAATTCAAAATGTCTTTTAAAAACTCTGGCTTGAATTTTTCAGACTTTTTCGTCCAATTTTGTTGTATTTTTAATAGTAAGACAACCCACTTCCGGTATTTGAGCGATGGCGACTGCCAGCCAGAAAGCCAAGGATTACGGTAGCCAGCAGGCGCCTGGTTTAGCAGAAACGTTGAGAGTCTTCCTGCAGGTCACACGGGTTTTATATGGCATAAAACCATTTTAATTTTCCGCGGCAGTGAATTTTAATGAGAACCAGCTGATGCGTTTCCGGTAGAGGACTGTTTTGTTTTTCCGCGAAAATGGTTGTTTGGCCTCGCATGAATGCGCCAAAGGGGTTTAACGGGGTTGGCAGGCTTAGGCTTAGGCTTGGAAGCTAGGCTTAGGCTTAGGCTTAGGCTTGTAGGCTTAGGCTTGGGCTTAGGCTTGGGCTTAGGCTAGGCTTGAGGTTAGGCTTAGGCAGGCTTAGGCTTGGGCTTAGGTTAAGCAGGCTTAGGCTTAGGCTTGGCTTAGGCTTGGGTTAGGCTTAGGCTTGGAAGCAGGCAGGGCTTAGGCTTGGGCTGGGAAGCAGTTGTGGGCTTAGGCTTGGAGGCGGGCTTAGGCTTAGGCTTGGGCTTGGGGTGGTGAGGCAGGCCCAGGCAGGCTTGGGGCTTAGGTTGGGAAGCAGGCTTGAAGCTTGGAGGCTTGGGCGTAGGCTTAGGCTTAGGCTTAGGCTTAGGCTTGGAAGCCAGGCCTAGGCCGTCAGGCTCAGGCGGTCAGGTTAGGCTTAGGCTTAGGCTTAGGCTTGGAGGCTTCTTAGTTACGCGGTTGTGTGTAGCCGTCTTTGAGGCTTAGGCTTGGCCTTAGCCTAGGCCTGGCCAACGCTTAGGCTTGGAACCAGGCTTAGGCTTGGGCTTAGACTTACAAGGAAACCTCCCCCAGCTCGAAGTTGGACCTCGATTAGCCTATATAGCCTATCTGATGCAGTTTTTCACGCTGATAACGATATCGTACTTGGTATTTTTGCCGAGCGCCACAGGAACATTGTTAAAAATCGATTTAAAGTTTTGTCATTTTTGGCAGCCCCGCCTCAAAGACCACTCCCCACGGGGAAGGGATCCATCGGCGGCGTGGTGTAAGTCGGCAAGTACTTGGCCTACCAATCTAGGGGTCGCTAGTTCGGGTCTTGCCGCTTGCACGACTTTTTCCTTTTTTGGCCCAAAAGAAGTGCTGTAGAAGGTCCTACAAAGTCATCAAGAAAGATATTTTTTAAGTTTTTTTGCACATTTGGTAGTTAATTCAGGTAGTTATGCAAGCTACAACAGACCACAGGTCTCGATACGATCCTCATGAATTTTATGACCTCAAATCGCTTACCTTGGTGCAGAAATGAAGCTTGACATAAGATGTAAAAAAAAACTTAAAGACAGAACCTAGTATTTCCTTCTCTTTTTTCAAGAAGTTTTCAAAAGAGTGGCTGGTGCATTAAATAGTTGGTGATCCACCGATAATTCCAAATGTCTTCGGCTGAAAAACAGTCTTTCCGAGAAATCAAATCGAGCAACTTGAATTGGTGACCAAAAGTTCAAAAAAACTTAAAACCATATTTTGTAGACTGATAGGACCTTCACAGCACTTTTGAAGCAAAAAGCAAAAAAGTCGTCAGCGGCAAGACTCGAACTAGCGACCTCTAGATTGGTAGGCCAAGTACTTCCCGACTACACCCACGCCGCCGATGGATCCTTTCCAGTGGGGGAGGGTCTTTGAGGCGGGGCTGCCAGACATGACAAAACTTTAAATCGATTTTTAACAATGTTCCTGTGGCGCTCGGCAAAAATAAATATCGATATCGTTATCAGCGTGAAAAACTGCATCAGATAGGCTATATGGATAATCGAGGTCCAACTTCGAGCTGGGAGGTTTCCTTGTTAGGCTTTTTAATTACGCGGTTGTGTGGTCGTCTTTTCTGGAATACAGCGATTTATTCAAACAATTTATTGCGGATTATCGGCGGGCTGGGTTAGCCTTTTGATTTGAACTCGCATACGAAGGAGCTGCTACACATCTCGTAGTGCCAGCAGTCACTGTCTCGCTTGCAGGGTTTCTGAAAATGTTGATATCTCCTCACTTCCCCTGACTCTCTCTGTCTCTCTCTCTCTCTCTCTCTCTCTCTCTCTTTCCAAAAAAACTTTAAAACCCCACCAGCGATCCGTAGTAGGCCGTGGCCACGGTCAGCCTGGCAAATGCGAGGAGTACGGTAGCGAGCAGGCGCATTTTTTGAGCAGCGAATTTTCTCTGGAACCCCGGGCTGACCGCTTTTATAGACATTTTCTATATAGGCCTGAATCCATGAATCTCAATTCACTCCCTGTCAAAGGCTTGACGTCTTTCCCCCGGCCGGCAAAAGAAATCGAATAATTTCTCAAAAAACAACATTTTTGCGATTTCTAAGGGGCCGCTACAGTGAAGGGGGATGTCGCTTTTGGCCTTTAAAAACTTTAAAACTATTGAGATTTGAAAATAGAAAATAGAAAATGGGGAGCATGTTAAAGAAAATCTATTTTTTCGGGCTTTTTCGCGTTTATAAACTGACTGGGAATTTAGGTAATTTGTTTGTCGATGTTTGAAGGAATTCATTGATCCTTTCCAGATCTATGCGCACTTCACGGCCCCGAAAAGGAAGCGGCCATGATCATCAACAATCGCAACTTCTCGGACCAGCCCGAGCGGAAAGGTGGGAGAGAGAGAGAGAGAGAGAGAGAGAGAGAGAGGAGAGAGAGAGAGAGAGAGAGAGAGAGAGAGAGAGAGAGAGAGAGAGAGAGAGAGAGAGAGAAAGCGAGGGCGAGAGGGGAGAGAGCGAGAGGAAGCGAGTGAGTGTGAGAGACAGAAAGAGAGAGAGAGAGAGCGAGAGCTAAAACTAGATAGATAAAACCAGATAACCCCTTGCAGGCACCGACGTCGACTGCGCCAACCTGCACAACCTCTTCACGCAGCTCGGCTACCGCGTCGACACCAGGGTCAACCAAACAGCACAGGTACAAAAAAGCGGAAAAACGGTCGATGCTGTACTATGTAAAATCTGCCATACCGAAAACATCACGTCACCACCAGCCTAACCTCAAATTTGGGTAACTGAACCCCTGCTCCTTGTTCCCTGTCGCCGCCCCACTCGCCCCCATCTGGCCCACTGTCTGGACAGATAGTCAAACCTCCCCACCCCAATTTGTCAGTCGGAACACGCCTCGTTCCTTCTGACCCGGTGGCCCCGTCCAGTCAGCAATTTTATGGGTTGACGGCGCCCATTGAAAATGCCTATTCAAGCATTGCACCCGAAAAGGAAAAGCCTCAGCTTTTCCTGAACTGCTTGAAGAGCTTCGAACAGCTCGAAAGCGTCCGAACAGCCTGAAAGCTGCAGAACAATCGGAACGGCTCGAAAAGCCTTTCGGATGCATCTGAACTGCTTGTGAAAGCTTCGAAGGCTCTGAAACTGCTCGAAGAGCGTGTGGCCCAAAAAGGCGGGGAATTCTTCCCAAGTTTTGCTCATTGTGAGGGCCAGGCCATTAATGCGCCCGACGACACAGCCTGGCTGGAGCTTTGCGGGTTTTCCAATTTTCGAGGTGCGGCTTCCGGGCCGAGGACATTAGTGTGTTTTAACTCAAAATAACATCGTTACTATTCCATTATTTTGAGATAGGTTGAATTCCTTCTGATAGAATTACTATACTTATATGTAGATCGTAGATGAACAAAAATTATTACAGGCATTAAGGGGAGCCCTGCAACCCATTTGTCGGCTGTACGGAGCCACCGCGATGGACGACCGACAATTCGGGTAGATTTGGCCTGAACTATCTGCCCAGACGGTGGGCCAGATGGGGGCGAGTAGGGCTGGACTTTGTGCGTTCTACGCATACTCTCTGACCCCCCGCCCCACTCGTCCACCATCTGGCCCACTGTCAGGGCATAAGAGCAGCCCCTCGGTTGGTTTTGGTGGAGGTTCAGCCGAAGGTCCTCCCCTCCCGGTAAGCGGATCCTTGCCTAGCTGAAGCTCTGCTCGTTTGCGGAGCGGAAGCTTTTGAACCTCTGATGCCCAGAGTCACGTCACCAATTCTCTTCGGAGAAGCGGGACCACTCAATATTAAAGTTTCGGGTTAATCCTGAGCTTTAACATTTGAAACACGAATTGCTACTCTCTAACTTTCCTCTGAATTCTAAATTCAGAAGTTGAGAATTTACTAGTCTCCTAAAGACTATCAATAATAGAAGAGGAGTATCTTTAATCCGATTCTAATAATAGTATAGAATACGACTATTCAAAAAGTATCTGAAAATAATTGAATAGTAAAGTCCCACCGACCTCCCCAACCACCAACCCCTGCGTTTTTCCGAGGTATAGTTTCACCGTGGTCCAGAGGGGTGGCGAGTCGGTGGTGATCAAAGTACATTCAAATGAGACTGGCCGCAACAAGGTTAAGTGTGATTAAAAACTTCGGTAATCCCCGGCCGGAGCCGCTAGTCCAAAATTTGGAAAATCAGCCTTTTTTGGCGAGAGGTTCGCCAAGGCTGCGCCCGAAGGTGCTTTACCCGGGCTTTTCCCTAGGGGAAGCCCGTTTCTGCTGAAAGCCGAAGCTTTTCAAGCAGTTCAGGTCAAGCCGAAGCTTTCCCGGTTTCAAGGCATTAAGGGAGCCATGAAACCCATTGGTCGGCTGTACGGAGCCACCGGGACGGATGACCGACGATTTGGGTAGATTTGGCTTGGCCTATCTGTCCAGACAGTGGGCCAGATGGGTGGCGAGTAGGGGAGAAGGGCTGGTCTTTGTGCGTTCTTCGCATGCTCTCTGACCCCCCCGCCCCACACGTCCACCATCTGGCCCACTGTCAGGGCATAAGGGCAGCCCCTCGGTTGATTTGGTGGAGGTTCCGCCGACGGCATCTTTTGTTGCCGAAGGTTGTCCTCTCCTGCTAAGCGGAAGCTTGTGTAGCTGAAGCTCTGCTCGTTCGCGGAGCGGAAGCTTGGGCAATTTGAAGCTTTTGAACCTCTGATTCTCAGAGTCACGTCACCAATTCTCTTCGGAGAAACGGGACGACCAGGTTTCTAAATTAAAGTTTCGGGTTAATCCTGAGCTTTCCTTTTTGAAGCCATGAATTCCTACTTTCTAGCTTTCCTCTGCATCTCTGAAATTCTCAATTTTGGGTAATAAAGTCTCCTGAAGGTAATTTCAATACTATTCTAAAAAGTATCGTATAAAAATAATTGAATAGTAAGTCCACCGACCTCCCCAACCACCAACCCTGCGTTTTTTTCCGAGGTATAGTTTCACCGTGGTCCAGAGGGGTGGCGAGTCGGTGGTGATCAAAGTACATTCAAATGAGACTGGCCGCAACAGGGCAAGTTTGATTAAAGTACTTCGAAATATGCTTTTTTTGGCGAGAGGCCAAGGCTGTGCGGGAAGGTCGGCTCATCAATGCTCTTCCCCCCGACTTTTGGCATGGTAAAATACCAGCCAAGTCCGCTTTTCCTGAATAAACCGAAAACCGAGGTTTTCGAGCAGTTCAGTGGAGCAGCGCCGGGAAAGCCGAAGCTTTCTAAATTCCAAGGCATTAGGGAGCCCTGAAACCCATTTGTCGGCTGTACGGAGCCACCGCGATGGACGACCGACAATTTGGGTAGATTTGGCCTGAACTATCTGCCCAGACAGTGGGCCAGATGGGTGGCGAGTAGGGGCGAAGGGCTGGTCTTTGTGCGTTCTTCGCATGCTCTCTGACCTCCCCGCCCCACACGTCCACCATCTGGCCCACTGTCAGGACATAAGGGCAGCCCCTCGGTTGATTTGGTGGCGGTTCAGCCTACGGCGTCTTTTGTTGCCGCAGGTCCCCCTAACTTTTTGAAACATGTATTGCGACTTTCTCCGAGGTATAGTTTCACCGTGGTCCAGAGGGGTGGCGAGTCGGTGGTGATCAAAGTACATTCAAATGAGACTGGCCGCAACAAGGTTAAGTGTGATTAAAAAACTTCGGTAATCCCCGGCCGGAGCCGCTAGTCCAAAATTTGGAAAATCAGCCTTTTTTGGCGAGAGGTTCGCCAAGGCTGCGCCCGAAGGTGCTTTACCCGGGCTTTTCCCTAGGGGGAAGCCCGTTTCTGCTGAAAGCCGAAGCTTTTCAAGCAGTTCAGGTCAAGCCGAAGCTTTCCCGGTTTCAAGGCATTAAGGGAGCCATGAAACCCATTGGTCGGCTGTACGGAGCCACCGGGACGGATGACCGACGATTTGGGTAGATTTGGCTTGGCCTATCTGTTCAGACAGTGGGCCAGATGGGTGGCGAGTAGGGGAGAAGGGCTGGTCTTTGTGCGTTCTTCGCATGCTCTCTGACCCCCCCGCCCCACACGTCCACCATCTGGCCCACTGTCAGGGCATAAGGGCAGCCCCTCGGTTGATTTGGTGGAGGTTCCGCCGACGGCATCTTTGTTGCCGAAGGTTGTCCTCTCCTGCTAAGCGGAAGCTTGTGTAGCTGAAGCTCTGCTCGTTCGTGGAGCAGAAGCTTGGGCAATTTGAAGCTTTTGAACCTCTGATTCTCAGAGTCACGTCACCAATTCTCTTCGGAGAAACGGGACGACCAGGTTTCTAAATTAAAGTTTCGGGTTAATCCTGAGCTTTCCTTTTTGAAGCCATGAATTCCTACTTTCTAGCTTTCCTCTGCATCTCTGAAATTCTCAATTTTGGGTAATAAAGTCTCCTGAAGGTAATTTCAATACTATTCTAAAAGTATCGTATAAAAATAATTGAATAGTAAGTCCACCGACCTCCCCAACCACCAACCCTGCGTTTTTTTCCGAGGTATAGTTTCACCGTGGTCCAGAGGGGTGGCGAGTCGGTGGTGATCAAAGTACATTCAAATGAGACTGGCCGCAACAGGGCAAGTTTGATTAAAGTACTTCGAAATATGCTTTTTTTGGCGAGAGGCCAAGGCTGTGCGGGAAGGTCGGCTCATCAATGCTCTTCCCCCCGACTTTTGGCATGGTAAAATACCAGCCAAGTCCGCTTTTCCTGAATAAACCGAAAACCGAGGTTTTCGAGCAGTTCAGTGGAGCAGCGCCGGGAAAGCCGAAGCTTTCTAAATTCCAAGGCATTAAGGGGAGCCCTGAAACCCATTTGTCGGCTGTACGGAGCCACCGCGATGGACGACCGACAATTTGGGTAGATTTGGCCTGAACTATCTGCCCAGACAGTGGGCCAGATGGGTGGCGAGTAGGGGCGAAGGGCTGGTCTTTGTGCGTTCTTCGCATGCTCTCTGACCTCCCCGCCCCACACGTCCACCATCTGGCCCACTGTCAGGACATAAGGGCAGCCCCTCGGTTGATTTGGTGGCGGTTCAGCCTACGGCGTCTTTTGTTGCCGCAGGTCCCCCCCCCCTAACTTTTTGAAACATGTATTGCGACTTTCTAACTTCCTCTGAATTCTAAATTCAGAAGTGAATTTTAGAAATTCATATCTGCTCAATTTTTGCTAAGATAGCCTTCGGAAACTATCAATAGTAAAGGAGAAGTATCCTCATTTCTATTAATACTATAGAATATCACTATTCAAAAAGTATCAAAAAGTATAATTGAATAGTTAAGTTTCCGTAAGCTAAAGCAATAATGCTAGCTTGAGGCTTCTTTGCTTTAATTTGGGTAAGCTTCCGCCCTGTAGAGATACAGAGCTTCAGCCTCGCAAAAATCAGCAAAATGGGAGCCGGACACGACGGCAACAAGTCACCATCGGTTGACCCCCACTGACTGAACCGAGGGGTCGACCCTTATGCCCAGACAGTGGGCCAGATGGGGGGCGAGTGGGGCGGGGCAAGGGAACAACGAGCAGCGGTTCAGTTACCCAAGTTTGAGGTTAGCTTTGGGGGGCTATTTTTCTTCGATGTCCAGTTGCTTTTGTATCATTTATGGTAGTAACGTTATCAAATGTTCCTCTCAATCAGAGATTATATGTGCTAATTAAAAGATAGTCAATGAAAAATTAGGTTCTCCTCATCGAGCTTCAAATTGCCCAAGCTTCGACCTTTGAGGCTATTCCATCCCCGTTATTTAATCTTCACTCCCCCCGTTAAGCAACTTTTAATCTTCAATTGCCCATTGATTTTTTTTTCAGGACATGGTCAACACCGTAGCCGAGCTGGCGACCTGTCGAGCCCTCCTCACCGCCTCGTCACTTGTGGTGAGTTGAAGAATTTGAAAATTAAACTCCCAAATAATAAAATTTAGAGTTAAATTTGAATTGTATAAATATATAACTATTTTTTGCACAGCTCGCCATCCTGTCCCACGGCGACGAGGGAGCCATCTACGGCGTCGACGGCAAGATGGTCTACGTCAATCAGGTAGCTTAGGCTTAGGCCAAGGCTTAGTTTCGAAGCTAATCACAGTCAAAAACCTCGTTTAGATTTTTCATAGACACCCCTAAAAACGTAATTTGGAGCGCACCGTAACAAAAATGAACCCCTTTTTGCAGCTGCTCTCCCTGTTGAACTCGGACCATTGTCGGACGATGGCCGGCAAGCCGAAACTTGTCTTCATCCAGGCTTGCCGAGGCGGTAAGTCGATTGGCTTCGATCAGCAATTGATAAGCTTTACAAGCCCACCTTTGTAACCAAGCTTACAGTAAACAGCTGAAATTAATAGTGGCAAGTTTTTAAAAACTAAAAAAACATCTAGACGTGTCATAAACCTATCGGTTCTCTCGCAACTTTTTTTCTTAGGATGGAATTTTTCAAATATAAATAGGGGAAGTGTTTCGAAATGGTTTTTTGCTACTCCTTAACGTGAAAACTTTACAAATTATTATTAAAAAAAAACATGAAAGATATCGATTTTTCGACCAAAAAAGCCGATTTTTTTTATCAAAATTTCGACCTGTTCCACATTTCTAAAAGTTTTTAGATGTTTTCTATCTGAAATATAGTTATCTATTCCTAAAAACATTATTAAAACACTTTTCTGTTAAGTTACTAGGCATTTCGAGACTTAAACAAAAAAGCTCCCCCGGATATGCGTAAGAACCAATTTTTTAGAAGCCAAACCAGCCCCAACAACATTTTTTTATTTAGAAGGGCGTGATCGAGGCGTGGATATGGTGGACGGTGCGGCAAGCCTACAGCCCGACGCCCGCTTCCTCGACCTGTTCAACTGCACCGGACCCGCGCAACGCATACAGGTACGGCTTTAGGTGCTTTCGCACTAGCGGGGGGGGGGGTGATCCGGGGAAAACCCAGTATAAGCCGAAAATGTCTATAAAAACGAAGGACGTATCTTAAAGGTGTTTTTTTTTTTGGTAAAATTTTACTATGTTTAAAGTAGGAGACGCGAATACCCGGTCAAATACTAAAAAAATTTGTTCGTGCGCACTATCGGGGGCTTTTATCAAGCGAAAATCGAATTTTGTATAAGCCGAAAATACCTAGAAACCTCAAAAACTTTTTTAATCGTATTTAGAAAATTTAACTATATTTGAATTGGGAGGCGGCGGGCTCTGATAAAAATTTGAATCTTAGAAATTTTCTTTAAGTTTTGCTTTTTTTTTGAAATTTTTCCCCTTTCAAATATCGCAAATTTTCCCAACATTCTATTAAAATTGTTACTATTAAGGCACTGGGCAGCACTAAAACTATTGGAAAAATTTGCCCCCCCGCGATAATGAAAAACACCCAACAAATCGAACCTGTTCAAGACGCGGCGTAGTCGTCTCCCCGCCGAAACGGACTTCTTAATCGCGTACGCGACGCCGCCACGGCACGTCAGCTGGAGGAACACGCAGCGAGGTCCGCATTTCCTAAATAAGCAACCATTTTTCCACGAAAAACTTAGTTTCTGACCTCGTCGAGCATGTGCTTCATTTCCAGGCTCGTGGTTCGTGCAGTCGATCTGCGAGGTTTTCGCCAAGCACGCAAAGGACGATCACATTATGGATTTGATGACTCGCGTCAATGATAGGGTAGGTTGCAGAGAAAATTGGGGAAATGGAAAAGCTGAGTCCAGAAAGCTGTTTTAAAAATGTGACAAGCTGGCAGAGGCGTTTAGGAAAGTAAGGCTGCCAAAGCTGGGTCTTTTGCATTATCGGGGGGGGGGGAGTCAACTTTTTCTAAGGATCTTTTTTTCTAATAGAAATTCAGAGAAACGTGCCTAAACCGTATTTAAAATATTCCTAAGCGTAAAAACTCGACAAATTTTGATAAAAATACCGAATTTTTCCGACCAAAATCCCCGAATTTCTCCCAAAACTTTCACTAGAAATTTTAAAGTTTTTCGCTCGTTTTTCCACTTAAAATGTAACTAAGCTTAACTAAAAACTCTATTAAAGTATTTGCTATTACGTCGTTCGGGAAATTTTGCGTTTATAGAAAGAATCCGCCCCCCCACCGATAACGCGAAAGAACCCGCAAAAATACAGCCCTTTTTTGCAGATGGCCACCTTCGAAACGGGCGAACGCTTCAAGCAGGCTTCGGAAATTCATACGCGCCTCCGGAAGCACCTCTACTTCTTTCCGGGAATGACGCGCGACACGGCCGTCTAGTGGACGAGGCAAAATGACAACCCTGCTTGATTCTAGGCTTTTCTAATTCACTTTTTGACGACATGCAAAACCTAAGGCATAATACCAAATCTTCAATGATCTCTGTCAGCCACCTATCAGCTCAAAGCTAAATTCGGACCTCCCAACCCTTCATTCCTCCCCGCCAGCACTTCCAAAGATGCGATAAATTTGTACGAAATACAGCTAATGACAGTGGATTCGAAACTTGGAAAGTAGATTGGGAAGCCCGTGTTGACCGTGGATCGCCCCATGCTCAAAAAACTTTATTAAAAGTTCAATCGACCAACAAAAGAGATAACAACGAAATGAAAGAGATCAACAACGGTACAGGGCGACAGAAAATGCACAAATAACGATCATTTGCTCGTGAAATAACCAAAAGGAACCCGCAACAAAAGGATACTGAAACAGTACGAGATTTTAGAAATCGGATAAAGCCAAGAAATAATAGACAATTATTTAACGGGATGCTTCCTCGTCGTGGGCTGCTTGTTTTCGAAGTCGAACAGGTTGTCGACGTCGATGGCGCCATTCCGGATGCCGACACGTCCGTAGTGCCGCGGCTTACGCTGGTCGGGCATTCGTTGGTCCTAAAAGTACCACAATCAGACAACTTTAGGTACTTTCGTAATATCGAGGGTGGGGGGTTCGATTCTCTATAGCGAATGTTCATCGACTGATTTAGGAATATGGAACTAAAGGAAAAATAGGATTCGCCTCTTAAAATTTATCAAAAAGGCGATTTTTCGGCGAAAAAACGCCAATTTGAGAGCAAAAGTTCGCATTTTAAAAGGTTTTATAAAAATTTTGGACGCGAAATAGAGCCAAAATACTATCATAATACTTCATATTTGTTTACAAGGCATAGAAGCAAAAATTCGGCATCCCTCTACCCGAGTTCGCGAAAGCGCCTAACCTTAAATTCTTCAACGCACCTCGACAATCTTCTCGACGATGGCGTGCTTGCCACCCCGCGGCGCCGGCATGCTGTACTTGAGCCCGCGCAGGTTTGTGAGACGATTCCAGTTGATATGCAGCTGCTCCTTGCCGTCCTTGTCGCGCGTGACGGCGCACTAAAAAGTCATGAAAATTAAACAATAAGCAAATAAGGAGCATTTTAGATTTTAGCCGCTCTGATCTAAATTTCAAGACAGGACTATAAAAATTTGGAATTTTAGCAAAAATGGTTTAAGGGTGAAAGTCGGGATTTTCGATGAGAATTTTGAAATCATATTTTTACCCAACCAAAAATCCTTGTTTTGTTGCAAAACAGTAGAAAATAATCGGTTCCAGATCCCCCCCCCCCCCCCCCCGCGATAATGTGAAAGAACCCAAAAAGGGCCGAGTACCTTGTGTAGTGACTTGTTGCCGCATTTCTGGCAAAACTCCTTGGTCATGTTGCTTGTGGTGCCGTAGCAGGCGCGGCAGCGGAGGACGTACGTCTGCAGACGCTGGATTCGGTAGCCCGCGAAAGAGATGAGCTCTGAAATTAGAGGCTACGAAATTGCAAAAAATCGTAGTAGACTTTTGAACTCGCTGAGTTTGTTGAAGCCAAATCTCAAGCAAGCTAATTTCTTCAAAAGCAAAATTTTGCGGGCGAGCAAGGGAAGATTTTACGATGGAGCATCAGGGGTGATTTTTCGAGCCATTCGCGAGTTTTCTTGTTATAGAAAAACTTGGACAAAACCACAACACTTTTGAAAAATATTCACTTCTATGTCAAAAATGCATGGAAAAATACCAAATAGAGGTCAAAACCGCAGAGGTTGATGGAGATTAAAAATTCCCAGATCGTTTCGGTGAGCGGAAACTGCCAAAAAGGAAACAAAGGTTCGCTATTTTATTACGGGCAGGTATCAGCTAAATTAAAAAAATTTGACGCTTGCTCGCCCGCGAAAACCGATGCACCCAAAAATTGAATAAGGATAAACGCACCGAGATGCATATGGAGAAGGACGTTCTGCACAGCATAATCCGTTGTAAGACATCCAACTTCGGCTCCATCGCACAACTAAGCTGGCGTTTACAAAAAAAAAACGTAATCAACAACCTCAATGGCACCCAGTTTGTTCAGAGCGGCATCGAGCGACTCTGCTGTAAGCCAGCCCTCCTCCTCCGAGTCATCATCCTTCGCGAAGCCGGGCGGCAGGCTTGATGTCGTCACTTCTTTCGCAGCATCGGCTCCGGCAGGCGTCTCTTCGGGTTTCCCGGCCTCAGCTTCTTCCAGCGCAATTTTCGCGATTGATGCCTCCACCTTTAAAAATGATTTTCGGTGAACGGATTGGAAATCACCTGCTCCACCGTCAATCCGTCCAGCGCCTTGTTGCTGCTCTTGGTGGGGTGCCGCTGGGTCAGATCGTAGGTGAGGGCGATCACCTTCAAATCGACGGCCGACAGCTCCGGGTAGTTGCCGACGCGCTTCGCCTCTTCGACAACTAAAAAAAGAACTGCTTACTAAGTTCGTCCTAAGTATTTAAATAGTCTTTTAAGACAGATTTAGTCATATTTGAAGCAAAAAATTATTTAGAAAACCTTAAAAAGTGCTTAAAGTTTTAAATTAGGTCGAAACTCGAGAATTTTGGTCGGAAAAATGGTCGACGCCTCGTTTAATCCAGATTGGCCGCCATTTGGCGTTTGGAATAGTGAAAAAAAACAGTTTAGAAATTGTCCTTTCCAAATTTAAACCCTTGAAAATCTAAACATTTGTAACAAAATTTGGTCGTAAAATCCATTTCCTTTTCTTCTTTTTTGTAATAAAACTTAGTAAAAGTTTTTGCGCTTATTATCTAAAAAACTGCCGGTACCTTTCTGAAAAGCTTCCAACGACGGCTCCACCCAACGAATCTCGAACGGGAACGTGTCGAGCTTGATCTTGCTCCGAGAACATCTCGCCTCGGCCAAGACGCCGGGCGGCGCGTAGAAATTCTCGGCAATGTTCTAAGCCCAAAATAAAGCAAATCGAAAAGCCAAAACCCACATGGAGCTGCTCGACAGGACGGATGAAGGCGTTCGTGTCCAGCACCAAATGTTTGATCGGTTTGCCCATTCTGAAAAAGCACTTATTGGGGAGAATTTGTAATCAGAGAGGCACATTGGAAAAGAAAAAAGGACTTCCCGTTCGGTGGATAAAGTTGGAGTCAAAAAAATTAGTAAACTGGAGAAAGAGCGTTCGAACCGGGTGAGAAAAAAAAGTTTGGCCGTGAGATCAAGTCGACATAACGAAGAGTATGCATTAATAATCTAAATTTGCAAAATCACCAGGACTATTTTGCATGCGAAACTTGCTATAAAGTCAAAAGCGGCCCACCAATTCGGCATTTCTTATTGCCATTTTCTTTTCTTTACTACTTACATCGATGGGTGATGAGAATAATTCAATCGACGAAAAGCTCAAGGTAGGCTCTTGGTTTCGAACTAACGTCGATGCAACCGCAGAAAAGCAGCGAAAAGTCGGAGAAGGAAAAGACGCTGGAAAAGGACGACAGACGAGAGAAGGTCGAAACTTCTGAGGTCGAGCGAAAGCCATCTTCGACGACGGATGATCCGGACAAGCAATCGTTGCCGGACGTGCTGGTACTTCCGTGACTGCTTCTTGACTTCATTAGATGGTGGATACCAGCTCGCCGGGCCCTGTGACCAGGCCGGATTCGACATCCGAGCGCCAACCACCTCCCAAATCTGTCCACATCGACCCGACGATGCGCGCCAACGTGCCCCCGCCGCCTGCTGTCCCGTCAGTCTTCGGAAAAATATACTAAGGCGGTGGCAGACATTTTGCCAGAAGCGCATCCCCGAAATATAATAAATCTCTAGGAAGCCCTCCCAATTCGAGATCAGCCGTCATGGTCTCGACGACACCACGGCCGTCGACCCCAGCAAGGAGGTGCCCAAACCAACGTTGCAAAACGCGACATCTACAGCTAAAAGACGAGGAACAAGAGGGGCCGACGCAGGCTGACGGCGAGACGAACCGGTCGATCGCGACGAAACCAACCAAGTCGGAGGTCAAGCCGATGTAGGTGGACTTGTCGAGTAGACCGGGCATCTCACCCTAAAGAATAGATGCTTCCCTGCTAGCAAAGGTCTTAAGCAACTGCTCGATTCAGACCCGACGTCGTTCCGTCCACCAAGAGCAAGCGACCAAAAGATGGGTAACGTCTGTCACCAAGACGTACACCTATTTTCTAGGGAGGAAATCCCCCAGGAGCCGCCCAAAAAAGTCGAGCCCACCAATAAGGGCAGCGGACGAAGCGGCAAGTCGCAGTAGGGCCCTCAATTTCCGTGTCCCATGGCTTACAACTTCTGCAGACCCGAGCACACCACGATGGGACTGCCGACGGCCTCGCAGGTGGTGGCCAAGCCGGTCGGCAAGGAGACGCGCGAGAAACGGATGGAAAAGTGAGCGCGGCCAACATTTTTGGATAGTGATCCTAATGCTTAGGTGTGACCTGAAAAAGCTAGAGGTGGTCGTGGAGCGGCACAAGAAGAATCGCGAGACGCTGATGGCCAGCCGGGTGCAGCCGAAGAAAAGGGCCTCCGTGGGTTGCAAAAAAGCCTGACAATCCCCGGAAACCCGCAAAATCGAGCGCACGTCATTGTTTCAGATTCAAATGCCCGCAAAGCTCGGACAACCCCGGGGAGAGCAGCGGCACCGAGCAGGAGAAGAAGCCGTGGTGGAAGTGCGGCTGCTGTACAATCGCTTGAAAAGAAGTCCGGGCACGAATTCACGCGAATAAAGCTTATTAAAGGGGCTACGAACTGCCAAAAATTGAGTGACGGCCCGAAAATCCGAGCCCTGTACGTCGGAGGCCTCTGTACGCCCAGGGGCCGGGAAGGTCGCAAATTTGAAATAGTTGTCACCTCGAAATCACGTTCTCGGCTGTTTCTGGGCCAAATTTAATGATTAAAACACCAAAACTATTTTAAATTGAGTGAGGATTTCAAAAATGAGCTCAGAATCCTTGAATTATAGTGTTTTCACAAAGAAACCGGACAAAAACAACTTCGCGCAAAAATCGAAAGAGTGGGTGCTCTCGTCCCGCAGCGCCCGCTGGCAATTTGCCAGAAATCAAAGAGCCCTCCCAAAAGGGCGCTTTGATTTGGCAGTTCGGAGCCCCTTTAATTTACGCACTGAATAGGATTCCCGGTCGTCTCACCTCCAGCGGAAAACAATCAAAAATGTACGTACAATTTTATTAACAACAAAATGCAGAAAAAAAACAATCACAGTTCATTTGGAAATCTTGTCGTTGAACAGGCGGAAGAGCTCGCCCATCTCCTTGTACTCGCTCGTCTTGACAGCATCCTAAGAAAGCAATCGTCTGAAAATCGACAAAGGGCATACCTCCAGCTTGGCCCACTTCCAATTTTGGTGCTCATGGCTGAGGGCCACATCGAATGGGTCCTTGAGCTTGGCCAGCCAGTACTTCACGGACTTCATTCGACCTTTGACCTGGAAAAATTCAAAGTGTCAGCAAAGTTATTCGTTACCGGATAGTATAGCGTGTGGTGGATGTCCTCATGGATGTCGAGGTGGTCCTTCTTGATATGTGCTTCTTCCTCAGTTTCTCGGATGGCCGCCGTCCACTCATCCTCGCCGGGGTCCACGTGGCCTGAATAGAAAATTCGTTCTTGCCGCGTAGTGGTAATCGTAATGGTCACAATTCCTACGAAAACTCGTAGTTTACCTTTCGGGGGTGTCCAGTGATAGGGAGGGTAGGAGGCTTGCAAAAGCAGGAACTCGGTGGCGCCCGTCGCCTCGGGTCGGCGGTAGACCACTAGCCCGGCTGCACGCACCGCTGCCTTGCCCGCCATCTAAAAATTTTATTATGCTAGTAAATAAAGTTTTTTGATGCATAGTTATTGATAAGAGAAATTCTACAGCCATTCAACGGAAGCTTAGGATAAATTGATTGATGCCGAAAACAGGGTATTCAACGGTGAATTAAAAAACCTGCTAATGAGGTTTTTTTATCAACTATAATAATTTTGCTGTGGTGTCTGTCCGTCTGTCTGTCTGTGCGTCATGTCCCAGATTCAACTCGAAGGGGAAAGGAGCTAGAGCTTAGCTCTCTTCGGATTCGGATAGAGCATGGTCAGAAACCCCCAAACTGATAAAAAAATTATGAAAAAGTTTTAATTTAAATTATTAAAATTAACTTTGAAAGTTTTTTCCTTAGTAAAAGCAGGGGGACGGAGGTTTGCCCGATTTCGGACATACTGAGCCAGGTCGCGCGCGCGTTTCGGCCAGGGGAGGGCGCGCAGGGAGTAGCCCGAAGTCCAGCCGCTTGCAGCGGCGAAGCCGCTGGAAGCGGCTGGTAACTATATAAAAAATTTACGGCCGTGGCTAAATAACGAATAAGCCTTTTGGTTCCCCCGCTAAACCCGAAGCATCGTCAAAAGCCTGCAAAGAATCTCATAAAAACACTAGCCGTTTTTCAGTGTAAATTTCCGATCACAGATATTTTCCAAATCTTTATACTCAACTGGACAGACTAGCAATAATCAATGGAACGACGAAAAAGTGATACCCGAACGTGATGAAGAAATCAACTGCACAAATTATGCAAAATTGCAGCCGAAGTCGACGAAATTATTTGGTGATGAAGAGGGTGTGGTCGGTCCCGAGCGCGACTTGCACAACGTCCCTGGGCAGGTAGACCTGCAAAAAACAAGATTAATCTCAAGCGCGAGAAGGTGGAATACCTGTAATGGGAAGAGCTGGTCCTTGTCCGTGTCGAGCGCCAGTTGCCCAAAACGATTTTGGCCCCAGATGTAGAAGTTCCCGGTCTCGGTGAGCGCGCCGACGCAAGTATTCCCAGCGAATACTCGTTTTACCTAAAAATGACATTTTTCGAAAATCAACGCGATACTTTTTCATTCCCGAACAACGGCTGATCGAGGAGTGTTGGCTGGCCGAGCTTCGTCACTTTTGGACCGAGACCTAAAAAAGAAATTATGATGAGACCAACAAGACGAATCGGACGTTGTTTGACAACAATCGTGGAAGTTAAATTACCAACCCAAAAACTGCGTGCCCCACGTGTACACGGCGCCATCCTCGTCGAGCGCCACACAGGAGCAGCACGTCGCATCCGCGCTCACGATACGCTTGGCCATCGGTAGATGCCGGGAGGCGGCAAGCTGAACCACCAACAAAATCATGATTCCAATTTAGAGTACCTGCAAATCCAAGTTTGGCCCGGCCTGTCCGTGCTCGTTTTGGCCCCAGATAAAGAGCTCGCCCTTGTCGGAGATGGCCACCAGAGTGTCGGTGGTGCCCCGGATGTCGACGAGCTTTTCCTGAGCGGCGTCACCTGGAAAAGATCCGTAAAGTTGAATACGTTAAAATTGAGCAACCTTGTAGCCGCAATGGTTCCGGTTGAATCCCGTATTGCCCATTTGCGCATTGCCCGTCTTCGTTCAATCCGAATGACAGCAACTAAATAAAAATAGCCACAAAAAAGGACAGAATCACCTCTCCATTGCGCAATAACACGAAAGATGTGTCCAGCGCCGCGTGCACCTTTGCGATTTCGCCCTCAACTGGTAGTGCTACGGCTGGCGCGGCTTCTCTAGGCTGGTGGTAAATTATCATAAAGGATAAATTTGTTCTACCGTTACAACGGTCTCCATCAAATCGGGGTCCAATCCGCATTGGCCGTGAACGTTATGCCCGAATGCGTAGACGGTGCTCGAGGTGGCCACCAACGAATGGGCTCTACCTGAAAATGATAAATATGTCACCAAGCTTCCAGTTACCGGCCGCAATCCAGCAAATCTCTCCGCGATTGGGGATCACGATGCGCTTCCGAGCAATGTAGTATTCCTGCGTCGTGTTGTCGCTGCTGGCCGTGATCTGCGAACTAAAAATGAGCTTTTGCTAGTAAAGCAGCCACTTACTAGTTATTCAATCCGCTTCCATACAGCTCATTCCTGGACGCAAACAGCGAAAACCCAAATCCGGAAGCGATCATGTCGACTTCTGTGTAATTGAGCCCAGGTATCCTCTTCGGCGCCTTGATCGACTGAGGTGGATTCTGAGAAATAATTTATTCTTTTTATTTGATAAATTGGCTCACCGTGTTCTTGTTCACAACCAATTTCGGTATTGCCAAAGCGCCCGAGGCCGACAATCCGGCGCCGTAGATGGAAGTGAGTCTTTGATGGGCCCTTTTGCTGATCGTCTTCTCCACGAATGGCTCCTTTCGCGGCTGCGAGCTGCTGCTGGCGGCCCGCAAATTTGCCAATAGCCTCGATATTCGCGGGGGCGAGAGCATCGGCTGAAAAAGAGCATATAATCACCGGCAAAAATCGAAAACCGCTCCGTCGCCGGAAAAAAAAGAAAAAAGACACATGCAAGAAGAAAACAAAACCAGACTGCGAAACTAAAACTGGTCCCGCAATTTCGCGCTTTCATTCCAAGCATTTGCCTGTGCTCAACGATTTTAGGTAGTTTTAGGGTTTTTTGAGCATCCAGCCTTTCCCCGTGGTGCTCCAATGGGGGAAACGGTGATGGCGGGAAGAAGAAAGACTTGAGTTTTGCGCACGTCCGGCCGTTACTTCGGGCTCTGCTGACAATCGACTAAATATTGCTAGAAGAGTCTCGTTACTATACGGGATAAACAAATCGTGCCAATGTCGCGCGCGAGTCGCGACCATTTTCGCGCACGTCTCGTGCACGAGACGGTACCGAGACGCGCACGAGACGCGCGCGACAGATCGCGACATGACCGCGACATGAACGCGACAGACCACTAGACGCGCGCGACATGGTCGCGAGTCGCGCACGAGACGCGCCGCGGCTGGGCTGCTTTCGACAGGCTATTAAATTGCATATTTGCTTTTGTAATGTGTAATTTGCTGTTTGGTGTTGTATTTCACCAGGTAATCAGAACACAAGGTTTATTCGACGCCGAGTTGAGTAAAGAGCGAGACGAAATACAGACAGTTTACCGCGCAAGATGACGGCTAAAACGAAAGTAAAAAAGCCAAGATTTTGTCTGTCGAATTGTTTTGTGTCTGTGTCGAAATGACGAAATATTCGGTTTCAGCTCCATTTGGCACCTATCGACGTCGTGCGCGTCTCGTGCGCGACTCGTGCGCGACATGATCGCGAGACGCGCACGAGGCTGTCGTGGCAATGACGCGCGTGAGAAGTGCGCGAATGTCGCGAGTCGGTACCGTCTCGCGCGCGTCTCGTGCACGACTCGCGCGCGACAATCGCCACTTGGCTCTCCCGTGTTACCGGGAATGGTTTTTAGGTGCTTGCCGAGTTTTCATGTATCTGAAAATCTCCGATCTTTCAATTCACTTGCTACCATATCAATTTATTGCACTAGACTTCTGCTGTAAAAGCCAGAGATTTTTAATTTGGGGTGATTGGTCAAATATGTGTGGAATGTGAGGAGTTGTGTCAGAGCAAGTCTCCAGGATGAACCCCCACCCATGCGAGCTCGAATCCAGTCGGAAAATGGCGAGAAAGTTGGATGGGGTTTGACATGTTGCAATTTTGAGTAAGACAGCATATAATATTGACTTTGAGACGATAGCGCCACACCAAGGACAGTCGGACGGCCAATGTCGGCGATGATTTCGGGATGTGGCGTTTTAGGAATGCTCGGAGTTCCTTGATATCCTGGAAGCAGCCGACACTTTTAGATACTATTACAGGGAAAGATAAAGGAAGCTTCTGATGTTGCACTGACCCGTTTCAGCAGCTCGCTGTCGGCTTCTTTGCGCAGTACGATCCCAAACGTCACCAAGACCGCCCGAGGGTGATTTTCAGGCGGCGAATTCTAAAACCGGAAAAATCTGCGATGTTTTGAAGCATTAATGGTCATTATTAATGTTATCAATTTCGTTATCGCACCTGTTGCATCAATTCGGCCAACAGCCCGATAACAGCCAACGTATCATTGATCCGATGGCCTGTTAATTGGAGCAGCAACGTCGGCGCGGATTTCATCTGAAGATTCATCTGGCGCGGATTTCAACTTTTAGGTCATTTTCGACCCAAAATCACCAAATTTTCGATTTTTCCAAACACTCTCTCAATTTTTTGAAAGCTTTTCCACTTTGAATATGGATAAAAGTTACGAAAAACAGTGCAAAAACATTTTGTTTTGACAAGAAGTGGCCCGAGCAACTCTTACCACTTCAAAAAGGGCCAGTAATTCCGCAATCAGCGAGTGTCCGCCATCCAAACACCGTCGCGAAGGCACGGCTGCCTGAATAGAATATTAAGTATACCGTAATTTCTTTTAATATAACTCCTGAATGCTATTTTTTGGAACCTCTTGAAATTCCACATACTAGGGCCTCCGACGAGAATCCGCGACGCTTCAACCATTTTAACTGAAATTGTGCGACTTCCGGGCACATGTCGAGCAGAATTGAATACGGGTTTCTGAGGATGTCAAGTTCCTGGATAGGGATCGAGAGCTCCTAAAAGACTTTTTGTTACTGGACTGTTAGCGGGGGGGGTAAATTTTGTTTTTACACCTTTTACTAATATGTAATGTATTTTTATAGTGTTTTTAGTAGTTTTTGATTGCTTGAAGGCGGTAAAAATTTAGAAAAAAATTGTAAATTCGCAATTTTTGTCATTTTTGAATCAAATTGTTTCATTTTTATAAGTCTTTTGATTCGTAAAAACTTTGTAAAATGCTGTGAAAGGGTTATTATACTTCGTTCTAGGGTCGTTCGGGATTGAAAAGTTCAAATTTTGTTCCCCGTTTACCTCCCCGATTAACAATCCAGTACCGGATTTTTAATGGTTCATTCGTGAAACATACGCAATCAAGGTCTCCAGGCATCACATATAACCCGATCGAACGCGGGAAGATGCCTCGAAGTATTCGGTTAAATGCGGAAAGCGCCCGGCGCCGTCCTGTCATTACATCGAGTGCGCAAACCTGACCGGAGTTGACCTCGTCGAGAAAATTGCGTCTGCAATCAACAGACTCGTCAAACGCTATGCCGACAACTCAGAAATGCCGAAAAACACCGACAACGATTCTCCAAGGTTATCTTTTTGGTTGTTATAACTCTTTGGTACTGATGCAGTTGGGGGGGGGGGGGGCAGTCCGAAGTAGGTAGTAAGGGGTTACTAGGCGCTCCGCTTAAGCTACTTGGTTTCTGGCTTAAGCTTGGGCTTAACGTAGCTTGAGCAATAAGCTTAAAACCAGGGGGATCTGCGGAAAACAAAAAGATACTTTGGGTGGGGTCCCCCTCTGATATTGCTGAAGAACCTTCAATGCTATGTTTAGTACATACCTATAATACATCCGACGGCGCCAGGGTGTCCGGTGCGAACTTATCGGATAGGTATGGTAGCGGAGAAATATGATACCCCTGCTACAGTGAGGTTGCCGTGACCATTTTATTTCTGCCTCGCCGCATCGTGTCCGACATACGACGCGTACTTCCTGAATATACAGGGTGTGCGCATAAAACAAAACACCCGCCTCTAACTCGACGCAGGGGTATCGGAGCGGAAAGATAGTTACGCCATTCGAAAGCCCTCCAACGGCCAGTTTGCAACAATCTTCAAAACCATGGTTTTATCCAAACGCGCCATTTTGCAAACCAATTTGTACAATTTCGGAGTTGCATACGCGCTAATTTGCAGCAAGTTTCACAAGCAAAAGGTCCGGAAGTAGCCGTTGGTTAGATGCAAAAGCCGTTCCTTCATGTTTTCAAATTCGTTATAAATCGCGCGTTTCAATAAAAAGATCTTTTTGAAAATTGTTGACAACTCGCCGTTTCAAGGGCTGGCGAATGTTATAACTATCGTTCCGTACTTCTGTGTCTAGTAAGAGGGGGTATTTTTTTATTGGTACACCTCGTAGTGCGATCATAAAATGGAGCCACAACGATGATGGCACTTACCGCGAATTATTTCAGTGACAGTTTTACCTGGTATTGTAGACATTAACTCAACGGACGGCCCTTTCCCATCCTCTACAAAAACTCACGTCGCGTTTGACGGAAACAATGGCGTCGTAGACGTATTTGCTGGCGAACCAATTTTTTTCCCGACCACCAAGCTCGTTCTTTATCTAGAGGTCGTCATATTTTCTCTTTGGTAGCAAATCGGTTCATGGTCCACGCAAGGGAATACGCTTATTAAGTAAATAAACAAGCAGAATCCGGCTCTTTCGCATTCTCGGGGGATTTTGTAAAAGTCCAGAAATGTCTAAAAATTAAAAAATATTTATATTACGAAATTTTCGGTCAAAAATCGGCCATTTTTTTATCGAAAAGGCTATATTTTTCTAGTTTAGGATCCTAAGAAAAATAAATGGTCCCCCACCCGCGATAATGCAATAGAACCCATAATCATAGCCGCCATGCGACTGTAACCGGCTTGCAAAATTAATGTTAGTTACCCGATCGCTCGCCCGCACTGCTAATTTCTCACTGCAACCCAGGTGGCCATGGGTAGCTACTTGAAGCGGCAACGGCAGAGCCAGGAATGGGAACGGCATTGTGCCAGCGATTATTCTAAACTGTAGGGTTTTCTCAAGCGGGGATCAACTAAGCTATTTGAAAGGAGTTGGATAGCGTATCGGAATGGCATTTGGAGGAGGGGGCCACATCTGGAACATAACAAGATTGCCTGCGGATAATTTTCTTGGCCGCCGTATTTTACCATTTCATCAGTGCTCGAAAAATGTAGGGCAATGATGTGATAAAAGCTGTTCGAGGCTATTCGATCTGTTTATGTGATCTGATCGGATAATTTCGTTTTAGGGCTAGCATTCGGCAAATTTTCCCCTCTCCGGCGCTTTCCAATAGATCTTTTTGATAAGCGCAAAGGCCTTGTTCCACTGTATTTCGAGTCGAGTGGGGCGGTGGCCGGGATCGACGACGCAGAAATCGGCCTGGAATCCGGCCCCATATGCCCGGCAACCTCTCACACACCCCGCGCGGGAGGATGTCAGCAGCCTATTTCGCCGTAACGCTGTTCTTCAGCGCTTTACTTTACGTTAAGCAAACTCAAACGGGCGATTTCTGGCCTTCCAAACTGCCTAAATTTGGTTGAATTTTGTCTTATCAGGAGGCTTCAGTTTTCCCCCAGTAAACCAGTAGAGATATACAACTAAATAAAAATCACTCTTTAAAAAAGCATTTGAAGGGTTCCAGATGCTAAAAAGCACTAAAAATTATATAGATCTTACTTAATTTCGTGGTTCTGCTGGGTTTTTTTGGTAGGAGAATGTATGAAAAAATGGTCAAAGCTCGTTGAATTTTGCAATTTGTAAAATTAGCTCCCGCTAACAGGCCAGTACCTCAATTTCCGCATTGCAAGCTGTACAGCGCAAGACTGTAGCTGTCGACGAAATTTTTGCACGAAAAAGAAAAAGGTTTACGCAACTGTGTTCCGAACAATGCACCGCATTATAGCGTTGCATATCGGAATCGCTGCGGGACTCTGCCCGCTTTCGAGGCGGTTTGATTTTCGTGATTCCTCTTTCCGGTTTGCCCCAC